ATGGACCTTATTTTAGGGGATTTAACCAAACTCCCATTCAAAAAATCCATTGACTCTGGGACGATGGAACCGGAAGTGCTAAAATGCTAACTCGCTTCGGGGTTTTTACCTACAAAGTGACATCATAGTTCCACCACTCTATTCAGCTTTTCTATAAGCGCCACCTGCTGTCAGTGAGTGGATTTACAGAGACTTGCATTTACATTCAGGTTGTGTGCAGCAGTTTTTGTCTGGCCAAAAAAAAGGACCGAATTTGCATGCCCTGCTTTAAATTTTGACCGGTTGATGAAAAACAAGCTTATGTGGATTCTACACATTTAAACAATTCAGATTAGTTATCTAGAATTATTTATGGAGCACATAAAATACATATAATCATTTATTAATCAATTATCATTTTGACTTAACCCTTTTCTTTATTTAAAGGCTGAAATGTGAGGTTTACATTTTTATGAAACTTTTTCCAAAGCTTTATTTGAACATATACAATAGATATTTGAACATGCTATTAGATAAATTGTTGTCAGTCATGTTGTCATTTAAAATCCGGACATCATTGGTAAAAACTCTGAAAACTCAAAACTCTGCTGCTCTGTGTTTCACGGAAACCTGGCTGAAAGACGCCATGTTATCGTTTTAGTGATTATGCGAACAAAAAGTCATTTTATTTGTTGGTAAAAGTGATTGTACTTGGTAAAGTGATTTATGTGTCAGTACTTTTTGAACATTCCCAGCACAATTTAACAACACCGTGATAATACTGATAACCGTGATAATTTTGGTCAATATAACCGTGATAAGACATTTTCATACTATCCCTACTCTCCACACTGTGTATTACAACTGTTCAGATCCGATTTGTGTGTCCTGTGGCGGCGCTCTTCTGTTTTACTGAATATCTGCATTGGTTTCTATGGCAATGATGTTATGTCTATGCTATTAAAAAAACAACAATAACAGCAATACAGTTTGCAATACAGAATGTCTCTGCTGGTCTCAAAACTTAAAGAGGTGCGTAGTCCAGCTCTATATTGTCATTTTCTGCTTGACTTGCACTTCACAACAACACAACACAACATCTGACATATTTACGTTTTACGTAGCATGAGAAAGTGACATGCAAAAAAGCTACACTAAATCTGATCTGAGCGGTCAGACTGAAACAGATTTCCAGAAATGCGATTTGAATAGGATTTTAAACCACATATGAACATACCTTGAAACAGATTTGTAAAAACGGATTTTATGTGATTTTATTGCCATTTACACTGGCTAAATATGATCGGTTTCCAATTGGATATGCACAAAAATCAGATTTGGACTGACAGTCTGAACAAGGCTTAAGGGTGTACTCACACACTAAGCACGATTGCCTTGTACTGAGCCTGAACGTGATTGTCCCCCTCCCCCACTGGCCTGCAAACACATTGCACTTAATCAATCTGGGCCAGAGCAACTTTTTGTTTTGAATAAAACAGGAAATAAGGCGTTTTCACTAATACTCTAAAAATGCTGTTTTTTTTTTTTTTAACCTTTAACCCAAATGCTGGGTTCAGCCTGTTGTGTCATTTTATTGGGTTGATTTTAATCATTTTACCCAGGTGCTGGGTCATTTTTAACACTGGGTTATTTTTTTCTACCTAACTGCTGGGTTGAGCCTGTCTCCGATGAAACAACACAGCTGCTGAGTTACAGTCAGAGCACGGGCTTTTTGAGTCCTCTACAGGAGAGAGTGGTTCTCAACGCCGCCATCGCCAATTTGGTGCACTCTTTCTGGGAAATAAAGGTTTGTATTAGTGGTGTCAAAGTTAGCACGTTAATGCAGGCGATTAATTTTTTCAGTTTAACGTGTTAAAAATATTTAAAGTGAAGTGACGTGACCTAGTATGGTTACCCACACAAGGAATGTCTGCATTTATCCCATCCTAAGTGCACACACACAGCAGTGAACACACACGCACCGTGAACACACACCCGGGCAGCCATTTATGCTGCGGCGCCCAGGGAACAGTGGGGGGTTCGGTGCCTTGCTCAAGGGCACCTCAGTCGTGGTATTGAAGGTGGAAGAGAGCGCTGTACATTCACTCCCCACACCTACAATTCCTGCCAGACCTGAGACTCGAACTCGCAACCTTTGGGTTACGAGTCCGACTCTCTAACCATTAGGCCATGACTTCCCCCAAGAGCATTCCCTGACCAGGAATCGAACCCGGGCCGCAGCGGTGAGAGCGCCGAATCCTAACCACTAGACCACCAGGGAATTACCATTTAACGCAATTACCGCAGGGGCGGGGCTAGGGTTGGCCACCCCACTCACAACTGCTGCTTCTGTCACTTTTTCTCTTGACATGAAGTGCATTTATTCAGTCGCAGAACGACTGAGAACGGGAGACATTTCAGATGCGCGCTCCACTTCACTTCAGCTCCAGGCGCGAGCGTGGAAACGGTACTGTGCTCGCAGCGCGTGCTCTTCAATTGCACGCACAAAGGCACCGGCACGCGCTGTAGCCTGTATCCTTTCATATCAAAGCACGAAATAAACTACGTGCATGCAATGTTGTGGTCAGTTAAGTCATGAAGTTACCAAAAAGGCGATTAAAGCTGCCTTAAAACTGTGCATGCATGTAATACATTTTATATGAGTCACATTAGAACATGTGTCTCTGAAATGGTTCACAAAACTGTCCTGGAGCAGCCCAGCACTGTCTCACTCATCTATGATCGTGTAACACCCGATTTAACTCGTAAGCTCATTAATAGAGACTTTAAGACCTGAAGTGGATCAGAAAAGGTAAAAAGAGTTGAGAGAAAATATGATGCATGTCAGATCCGCGTCATGATCAGCAGCGGCAGCTCTTAAAGAAATAACAGCCAAAATAACCGAATAACCAGCTGCTGTGATGGCTGCGTTTACACTTGGCATTAACATGCGATCACCGTGATCTGATCAAGCAGATCGGATCATCAGTCAATCAGGACACGGCGCGTTTATACTTGGCAACATCAGCTGACTTCTCGATCTAGTTAACCGATCGGATCTGTATTTCCCGCACAATATTTAAATAAGTCTGCGGTGCAAAGTCGACCTGAAGTGGTGGGTTTTCTTTTGAAAACTATTTTCAGTCGCGGGACATTTTACAAATCAAAATAAATGTACGAGTCTCACTAGCGCTCCGTTCTTCCGACAGATCGGGAGAGAGGGGGCGGCGTTTTGCGTGATGTCAACCTGCGAATGCAGACACGATGGCTGGATTGTGCTTACAAAATGTCCCGCGACTGAAAATAGTTTTCAAAAGAAAACCCACAACTTCAGGTCGACTTTGCACTACAGACTTATTTATATATTGCACGGGAAATACAGATCCGATCGGTTATCCAGATCGAGAAGTCAGCTGATGTTGCCAAGTGTAAACGCGCCGTGTCCTGATTGACTGATGAC